ATTTACTATAAACATTATCATTAGAAGTCATGAATGAAAAGTTTGTTGGATTTGTTTAACAAAACCTACTTGCCAGTAGTAATGGTTATATTAACTATTTCCTTATAAGGAAACATTTAGCAATTGAAATTTATAAAATCTTTCTCTTAACTGTTATTGCTTTTTCCAGTACTGATGGGTCGGGGGGGGGGTCGTTATTTGAAGTCGTGTAGAATGTCAACATCTTGATTATGGTGCCATTTCCTCTTGCAAGTTACATGTGCTATCCATTTTAGTTGTTGCTGAAAGTCCTCAAGTGATGTAGTCTCTGTTGTTTGGTAAAGTTCTTTGTGATTCTGTAGCACCAGTCCACAAAGTTCTAAGAAGGATAGTATTTGCCATGACCCAGAGGCTTCACTCACTCAAAGCCATTTTTATACATTCGATCTTAGGAAATGGTTGTATACAACTGACAGTTTAGATATTTCTGAATGGGTTTGGTGCCATGTAAGACATCCATATGAAAGTCTCAGCTGGATGAGGATATTTAAGAATAGGACTTGCAATTTTAGGTTAATGCTTTGATTTTGCTGCAATTTGTGGTGTTAGATGAACATTCTATTCTATGTTCACTTTTCTTATCTCCTATCTTGATTATCTCCCTTGAGCTGGAGTTGTTGTGTATAAGTAGCCACCATGTTGGTTGACACTGGCTTTTTGTAAACAGCTAACATGAGCAGCAAAGCAAAGAACAAAAAATGAAATAGATTATAAAAAAAAGAAAAAAAAAAAAAGCTGGATAGGTGCAAAGGTACTGTGATTTAAATTTTTTTTTTTTTAGTGTTTTGGCATTCTTTTTTGAGTATTTCTACTATCCTGAGAATATACAACCGGATTTAACTTGCATAAGTATTTTTTTTTTGTCAGTTTAATAAGGCAAAGATTTAACAGTTATCAAGAAATCAATTAAATCCAAATTAAAAGACATTGTTCTTCTCCATCGCCCCAAACGGCCAGTTTCAAAAACACGCCAAACACCCAAGCATATGAAACATCAGTGAAGCAATTGAAATTGTTGTCCAATTTGTTCCAAAATTGAGAAAAAAGAACAAGCATCGGCAGAGTTACCTTATCTTTGGAGGGCAGGGCGAGAGGGAGAGCATTGAAATTGATGGTTGAAGAACTAAATGCAGATGATGGCTTTGATAAACTGGATGAACTCTTTCTAAAAAGATGAGCATCAGAGGTTGTACGTAGCATATGCTGAATCTGAAGAATACCAGCGAGCGGCTGATACGTCCATGTCCTATGTTAATGACTTTGGAGAAAAGTCTACATCTAACACATCGTGGAAGGTTGCTTGGAGAAACATTTGAATTTGATGTGCTGGATAGTGGTTGCACTAGGAATGTACACCCTTGTGCAAATTATACAGGAAGATGGGGAGGGCCATGATCCCCTAAACCCTTGTGCAAATTAATTGAAACAAAAAACAATAATTCTGTTATTATTTACTTTTTTTCGTATTTTTCCAATACAACATGACCCAATGCACATGTTAGTACTTCATATGTCCATTCCACAAAGTTGTTCCTTGCAGATCGACCACAGATTCTCGATTGGATTTAAATCAGGAGAGATTCCGGGCCAGTCTATAGTAATTTGATTTGCTCACTGGTAAGGCTTGCCAGTGTTTTCGTGCAATGTTCCAATTTTCGTACGCTTCCTTGGAGTAACGTCCATTGCAGACAATGGCTGTAGGATAACTAATCGACAGTCGAGACAATAGTGTCTGGGCGTGACGAAAATCTGATGCAATTATGAATCACGCAATATTTTTCAAGGCCAAACAAATTTCATAATACACCTCAAAAATACATTCCTATTACTGCACACCACTGCAAATGAGTTGAGGAAAAAATAGAAATCTATTACACCATCACTTCAGTGAGCATAAAACTGATCATATAGTGAAAGAAAGGAAACTAAGGCAGTTGTTTCAATTAATTTGCACTAGGAATGTATGCTCTAAAAATTGGTTGCAATGTTATATGAATTCACTGGTTGAAAGGAGCAAGAATGCGTATTTCTAGGGAGCTGATTTCCTTACAAATGAGAAAGAACAGATATGATGAAGCTATTTCTTCTACCATTGTGAGGGACATTTGCATGGTGTTATGTCAGCTCATTGAGATTATTTCTTTTGGGATAGAACTGATCATTTCAAGTCGTCAGTCATAAATAAACCGAGACAAAATTTATTTATCAGCAATGAATCGCAAGAAGTTTTTAAATACCTTGGCATTTATATTAATCAACTGAAAGAAGATATTTGTTTGAATCAATCAAAGAATAAAGATTCCTTAGAACCAATATAGCTTGAGGGAAGTAAAAATAAGAATAGTAGTCTAACTGGGAAAAGAATGAGTTTCGGTCAAACCATTAGGCAATTGCTGTAGAATGTAAATCAAACAAGACCAGATATATCATTTGATACTTACCAATTGAGTAACAGTTTTATAACAGAAAATTGGGTCAGCCCGAGAAAAAACTCAGAGTTGGTTGTACGTAGTGTTATAAGCACCAGGATTTGTCTCTCCTTTCACAATGGGCTGTTGAGAGAAGACTTTCTACTTAGAGTAGGTGGCGCTACCTATTTGCATATGAATGATACTGGGCAGATATTAGCCAATAGTCAGCGTGGGTCTGTGAGAGCTATATAACATCAGTGTTTTTTTTTTTGTCTTGGTCGATAGAAGTGCTCTCAATGTGTAAAAACCAGATAAGACAACCACAAATTTAAGTGACACAAAATCAGATATATTCAGAATAAACAAAGTTATCTGGAACTTCAAGCAGAATAGACTGTCATTGTCCTATAAGAAATTAAACAGTTTGGAAAAGTCCACAGTATCAACATTTTCTGATGCTTATTTTAAAAAGCTCCCAAGTGGTGGCTCTCAAGCTGGATACTTGATATTGATTGCTGACAAGGAGGGAAACACATGCCCTATACATTGGCAATCACGAAAAATAAGGAAGAGGATAAGGAGTTCACTAGCAGCTGAATGTTTGGCCCTGCAAGAGGCAAGGGAAACAGCATTCTAGCTGAAAACAATTCTGGAAGAAATTCTTCAAGGAAGCAAAGGCAAAATTCAAATCAAATTGCTTTATTTACAACAAATCCCTCATTGACTCACTACATTCTTCCAGAACCCTTGAAGAAAAAGAGATTGATACTAGATGAAGCCATTATAAAGGATATGATAGCAAAGAGAGAAATCAGTGTGATAAAGCTGATTGACACCAAAAGTTAATTGGCTGACTCCTTGACAAAAGCTACATCATCATCATCAGAGAGTTTGTGTGATGCTTTGCAGCAAGGAAATATCAGCCCTGAACATTAAAAAGGGACAACAAATCTAAGATGGGGAGTGTTGATTATCTCCCTTGATCTGGAGTTGTGTATAAGTAGCCACCATATTGATTGACACAGGCTCTTTGTAAACAGCTAACATCCTCTGCCATATTTGTTATAACTGATTCATACACAAAGGTATTTGAAGTGTTTGGTATTTACTAAATCCACATCCTATTTTGTTATGATGGGTTTAAGGTATGTGCCATTGGTACTTTGTCATTTAAATAACATGGATTCTCATGTTTATTGTACAAAAGAAAATAATTTTAGATGAAACCAATTCTCTCAAAAAAGCAGAGAATATCAAAGATTGGGATCATGGAATAAGAATAACAATACCAATTGCCATTGCAATGCTCAGAATTGAAGAGAGATGTTGAATTTTATTGGTTAAGAAAAAAAACTAGCTTTCAAGCTGAGAAGTAAAGCTTGTTGCTACACAATTTCTTTTTCTTTTTTATAAGCAACTTAGGATTTTCAGTAGTACCAAAGTTGCTTAATTTGTGTACAAGAATTAGTATGCTTAAAGTTGCTTAAGTTTTTCATGTTTGGGTCATAGAAAAAGACATTTCAAATGTAAGCAGGCTGGTATAATTCTTGAATACATTGTAAAATGAGTTATTTTGTAAACCTTTTTGTTTAATCTCACATCTTTTTTTTTTCTTTATATAGTTGCTTAAACTTTTATTGCCCAAACAGGGTTGGAAAATTTGATGAAAATCAGTATCAATTGATATGTCAGAAATTGTATTTTAACAAGATGTGCAAGCCAATATTGTATTTTAGCCTTTTCTGTGTATATTATCAATAAAATCAGAATTAATACTCGCCTGGTATAAAAATAGTCTCAAAATATATTCCCCTGGTGGAACAACAGGGATTAAAAATTTAAGCCATATTGACCAGTGGAGTTGCTTTTGGATTTAGTTAAATTTGAGTACAGTTGCTTTGGAAAAAAGAAAAAAAAAATGTAATGTCTCTTAACTCCAACAAATTTAAAAATGGCTGAGAAAAGAAAAAAATAAATACAAACAAGATAACAAATAAACTTATGATTCATTGATTTATAAAAAGTTCTTTGTTTTTTTTTATGTGTGAGTGCCTGTAGGAGGGAGGGGTGTTATAAAAAAAAAAATCTCTCTCCTCTTTAAATCCACTTGTGTGACCCCCCCATTTTAATTTAGAAGAGAAAATGCAAACATCTTTGATTTACATCTTCTTGGTCATCATTTTGAAGCGCCCATCATTAAAAAAAAAAAAAAAGAAAAAAAACACCTTATAGCTTTATTTTCTATAACAGAGTCAAGTTGGTAAAATTCCAAATTTGGGTTCAGACCTCCTTCATGTTCTAGATGTTGACCAATTTATTTGTTAGGCTTTGTCAGGTGTAAAAAGAAAAAAAGAAAAAAAAAAAAGAGAAAACACAACCTTATTTCTTCAGAAAAGGGGCAAATATCCCACCTTATCTTTTTTCATTAATTATACACCTGACAAAAGATTGACAAGCTGAAATATTGGGACAACATCAGAGACATGAAAAAAAAGGAATACAAATGTTTGACTAAAATTTGGAACCTCTAAATGTTGTCATCACCAGCTTTTAGGTGTCATCATTGTCTGAATCATCTGTATTCTTATCGGTTTTCTGTGAAGAGAAAAAAGAAAAAATTCAACAACTTGAATTTTTACTGAAATTACTTGTTATAAAAAAAATAAAAAAAAATCTTTTTTTTTTTTTTTACTAATTTTTATTATTTCAAGACATTTTATGACTTAAGCAAGCATCATGGACATAGAAGTAGCCTCAACAAGATTTGAACCTGCATCGGATATCTTTAAGAGCACATCTAACATGGAAAATGCTTTGACAATTTGACGAGAGAGAGACCAGCCAAATCCTCTTTCAACCCCACCCCAAACACCATGTTATATTTGTTTGTTTACTATATAGTAGTATATTTTGGCAGCAACTATTCATTAAAATAAATTTGATGAAAAGTAACTGACAAGGTTTGTTTCTTTAATTTTTTATTGTATTTTTCCAATTTCCAGATAAGGTGTTGAGTATTGCACTCAATGTTGTGGATAGACTGTCTGAAGTTCATATTTTGTTATTTTGGTTCAAGTCCTTTCAACTTTCATCGTCATTATCAAGAACTGATGTGGTAGCTGTGTAATTCCTTTGTCTGCATTTTGCTATTTGAGTAGCTGGACATTTGAAATGGTCTAGTGTGATGCCATGAATAACAGCTATTAGGATTGAGGCTGCACAAAAAGAACGCAATTTATTTTCACTATTTACATCATTTGCACTCTTGTCTTCATCTTTGTCACCATGTTTATCACAACATTTCGGCCTTCTTCAGGTGGTTGGAATGTCGAACTGAACCCTTTATTTCGCTCACTGGGGTAGACTATTCTATTTCCACGTGTCATGTCTAATAGATGTCAGTTATCTCCTGTTAATTCCACTCTCAAAGTTCTCCACTGCCTTAACCAGATATTGAACTTACACTCTATGGGTCCTGTCCTTGAGGACACATGGCACAGTGGATAAAGGCGTTAGTTAGATCCAGTGACAGGAACCAAAGAGTGTGAGTTCAATACCTGGTTAAGGTGGTGGAGAACTTGGAGAGGGGAATTAACAGGAGATAACTGATATCCATTAGACATGGCACGTGGAAATAGAACAGTCTACCCCAGAGAGCGAAATAAAGGGTTGTTTGACATTCCAACCACCTGAAGAAGGCCAGAGCGTACAATGGCTGAAATGTTGTAATAGATATGGCACCAAAGATGAAGGCAATAGTCCGAATAATGTAAATAGTGTACATAATACCTCATCTCAGAAATATAGACATACTGAAAGGCCGAAACGTAATAAATATGGCGACAAAGATGAGGACAATAGTCCGAATAATGTAAATAGTGTACATAATACCTCATCTCAGATACTGAATGTTAACGTCATTGTACATTCTATGGTCAGTGATCAGAAAACAAGTAATGGCTACTGACAAGACCTAAATTTACATCCAGGAAGGTACAGAAGATGTCTTACTAATCCAGGTATAAAGTCCAACCAACCAAATCTTTAGCCAATTTCTCCACAGAATCAGATTTTGTACACTATCTAGTAGTATTAAATACAAATAATAAGGTCTGTGTGTAATTTTGTTTTTATTGTATTCCTCCAATTTTCAAATAATTGGCATTTCTGGTGCAGTCTTGCTACCCTTTAACCATTACACATGATGCCATTTTGTGCTGATTCTAAACTTTCCGCTCTCTATAAAATACCAGGATGTTGCCAACAGAACCTTGCCTACCATATTGACAGCACATGGTTCTTGATAATGACCGAGACATTCAAAAGTACTTTAATAAAAACACACAGTTTATCCATAATTTCAATCCCAATATAAATCTTATTTGAAAATTGTCATCAAATATGATCTCAAATCAATCATTAAAAATTTATTTAGCAAATAGTAGATGCTTCATAATAGCCAGTGTATACAATTTATGAGATGACATATTTCAAGCATAACATCAAAAATGGAGTAATTTTTTTTAAATCAATAACAATGGAGGCTCATTTAAGGGAAGGGGAGACTCTTAAAGAAATTAAATTAAAAACAAACAAAAAAAAATCCTAAGAATATTGTAGCCTAATTGGTAAGGCACTGTCACAGAAAGATGAGGTCCTAAGGATAAGGGACACCTATTCAAACCTTACACTTTGTTTTCAATCTTTGACGCTTATTGTACAATTGAAGAAAGACAAGTTGAGATAATCAAGAAATTAAGATGTAGGAATACAAGTCAAAATTAATAATAATGCAAATGTTTCAAACTAAGACAATTTTAGACAATTATGTTAGTTACTAGTAAGTGTAGACAATTAAGAATAAAACAAATAATAGTCAACTGATTGAAAATGCTTCATTTAAGAAATTCAGATAACTTAAGACTATTACTACTTGGTATAAAAGCAAGAGAAATACAATGAAAGAAATACTAGTCTAAAATTAATAAGAATTGATAAAGCTTCATCTAAGAAATTCAGATAAAATTACAATTCCACCATATCGTGATTTATTTAGACTAGTATCACTACTGTTATTTTGTTTGCTACATTTTCATTGGTATTCATCGTGTAACACGTCAGAAGATGGTTGGAGAATGCACTGGTCAAAAGGTAATGACTAAAAAATTACAGTGAAGATATTCCTTCCAAAAATTCATAGAACATTGGCACCATTTGTCTGAAATAAGAAAATAATAAAGTATAAAGAGACAATTATAATTTCCAGAGAAAGCAAGCCCCTTACCATCTTCAAGAAGTCTACTAGTTTCTGGGGATCTGTACCAAGTGACAAATCCACAAAGTCTTTAGGAAGAGCATAAAAGGCATAAGGGTTGGGCTTCACTCCACTATCTTCTTTTTTGACACAGCGGAAGACGGGAAACTAAATAGAGAACAAATAAAATAAGTGGAGTTAAATATATTTTTAGAAATTATATTGAAAAAACAAAACAAAAAAAAAGACAAAGAAAGAACAAAAAAAATTCAAAGTAGCTTTCAGCCTTGAACAAGATGGGGGGGGGGAGTGAAAATATAATTTTCTGTTTATGCATTATTTTAATAGATACAATTTATTAAGTAAATGCTGTTTTTTTTTTTCTTTTAATTAAACAGCATCAATTATATTTAGCAGTAAATTAATACTGTTTAATTAAGGAAAAAAAAACAAAAAAAACAAAACAAAAAAAAACAACAAAAAAAAAAGCATATACTTAAATAAATTGTATCTATTAAAATAATATATAAACAGAAAATATATTAAATAATTGTTGCACTTAAGCCATTTCAAAATATATTGCAGATGGTAATATTAATGCTAACTGCTCGTAGATGTGATTTAGACAGCATCCTGTAAACAACTTCCAAGCATTTGATGATGACAATGGTGATGAAGAAAATGTTCTGCATAGCCATCTGACAAACTTTGAATTTTTTTTTTCAAAGTTCTGCATTTTCTGACACTATATATATATATATATATATATATATATATATATATATATAGGAGTTGTTCAGCTTGGCAATTTATGTTTTGGTATCAGTTTCCAGTTTTGTTTTCCTTGATACCGATTTCGATTTGGTTTTTCAGTTTTTAATATGGTAATTTTGCTTTTTAAGGAAGCCATTCATTTTTTTGTGTAATTTCCAGTTGGTATCTTATTTTGTTTGATATTGATAATACTTAATCGATTCAACTCGCAATTTCTTGTGTATTTCTGGTCCAATCTTAAAAATATTCAATGGCTGGAGGGAAAATAATATAATCTTTCTAAATATGTAAACAAATAGATTTCACATTTATTTCCTAAAACTAGTCAATTAAATGTTTTTAACATATTTTTGTTCAATCTTTTTCTCTTACAATATACTCTTGATAAAATTTAATTTTATTAACATCTGAAAGACTTCAATAGTGTTTCTTTGGATATGGTCACTCAGTAGTGATATGAAAACGAAACCAAAATTGTTCGGTCTTGTAAAAAATTTTGATGCAGTTTAATGGCGTGAAAATGAAACCGAAAAAAGTCAGTTTTTCGGTTAAACTGCACATCTCTCTCTCTCTCTCTCATATATATATATATATATATATAAAAAGTAGTTTTTAATTTAAAAAAAAATAAGTTTAAATAGCACTTCCACTGCTGCCCTGTTATAGCATTGTTGCCTGGCTGTGCTGGCCTGTTTTGATTAAAGATGCTGCAGTGATTTCTCACGGGTGCAGCCATTTTGGTTTCAAATGAATGATCTGTAGTATATTGTGTAAACAATAATCCCCTCCTCCTCCCAACACAAAATTTAATAAAAACATGCTACATGGGTCTATCCTGGCTTGGAAGCACTAAACTCAAGTGTATATTGATCTTGCGGAAAATTCTGAACTGGACCTTCTATTTAATCTATGGTGGTAGATTTCTTGTTTCACTGCTCATGTTTAGGGATACAAATAATAACCTGACTATATCCTTAGATATGATCAGCAGAATGAGAACAGTCTGCTCCCATAGATTAAATAAAGGGTTCAGTTCAGAATTTCATGTGGGTTACACAGATCAATATAAACTAGAGGAATGGCCAAAACATTGTAATAAAAAGAAAGATGAGGACAATAGTCTGAATAAAAATAGTGCAAATAATGATAACTCGTCATCCCAGAAATTCAGGAATCAGTGCACAAGATTGACACTTCTACTTCTGCATTGTTACAGTATTGTCACCTGGCTATGCTGGCCCATTTTGGAGAAAAGCAGGAAATTGCTATTTACTGAAAATAAATGATTATAAAAGATGCTGATGATAACCTCTCATGAGCATCACCATTTTGGTTTTGATTGGATAAACTGCAGTACAGACTAAGATAAACTCCACCGACAACACAATATACACACTATATATTAAAAATAGATTGGTTGCATTGTACGCTGGTGTGAAAATGTTTTAAATTTTAATAGGTGGAAGTTGTTTGCTATGTAAAAACATTGTGAATTGAGGATCAATTTACAATGTTTTTACATAGCAAACTGTAAATTTAATCCTTTAGCTTTCATTTAAAGCTAAATTGAAAACTTCAGGAAAAGCTTTTACATGTTCAAAAATTCATTTTAAACCTTACATATACCCAATCCCTGGAGGTACCTAATTTAAAGACAATTTGATGCATACAGGTACAAACAATTTGATGCACTTTCCGTGCAAACAATTATTTTTATTCCATAGGTGACTTTCGCAATTAATTTCGATTATTCCCAAAAATTTGTTGCAAAAAATCACGTTAAAAAAAAAAAAAACCCAAAAAAAAACAATCAACAAAAAACAATCGCAGTAATGAAAAGTTTTTGGCTTGTGTAAGGAGGGGGGGGGGTCAATTTACATAGTTATCTTAACCCCTTCTTAAAAATTAGAAAATTTAAAAAAAAAATATAAAAAAAATAATAAAAGAGAACAAAAAATTATATTTGTAATTTGGAGTGCTTTATCAATGGTAATTTGAAAAAAAAAAAAAAAAAAAAAAAAAAAGGAATACTTCTCGGAGAGGTGAGTTTCTTTAGAAATGTCTAGATTTTATTATGCAAACAAAATGAAGTGCACAACAAAATTTTATTCATAAATAAATCCCAAACATGTAGGCTATAAAAACATATTTGATTAACACAATAACAAATATAACTCAATAAATTATTCTATTATTTAAAAATGGTAAGAAACTCCTTGGATTTATTTGTCAGTCTTATATTCACTGATTTCCTTAACTTTTCTACTCTCCTGGCATTAACATTACTTGTTAGTTTCACTGGTTTTTAAGTATCTTCTTGTATGAACATTGATTTCCATTGTCTTAGACGTCTCTTAAAAGAAGCATCACAAGATTTCTTTTGGGATTAATATTTGGAAAAGTAGGTGGAAGAGGTTTTTGAAACTTTTTGTTGGCAATAATGAACTTTGAAGAATATGAATGAGTGTTTAATTCTATAGATATACATTTTAGCTTTAGGCTTCTCAGTTATGACCTGTACCTTTCAAATAATATATATATATATATATATATATATATATATATATATATATATATATATATATATATATACGTTTCATTAAATAATATAGACAAGTGTTGTCTATTTATTTTATGTAAAATTTTTTCGTATCTTCTGATAAGTTTGATAACATTATCATTAACCGAAAAAAGAAATTCACAATATTTATCCATTATTTTTTTAATATAATCTAAGCTTTCGGCTTACTCAAGCCATTATCAAAGATGTAATTACAAACATATAGTTGGTCTGGGGTAAAGTTGTTTAATTTTTCTTTGGATATTTCGATTTGCCTTTTCACAAGGCTACATTTGTAATTCCAAGTATTGATAGTATATATATAATAAATAAATAAACCTGTCTATACTTCTGAGATGAGGTATTGTAATAATTTACATTATTTACATTGTTCAGATTTTTGTACTCATCTTTGTTGCCATATTCACAACGTTTCGGCTGCTGTATGCTCCGGCTTTCTTCAGGTGATTGGAATTTCAAAATGAACCCTTTATTTTGTCCACTGGAGTAGGTTGTTCTAGTTCCATGTGATTTGATCCAAACAGTTGTGAGCTCAATATCTGGCTACTGCAGTGGTGAACCAAAACTCGGAGAATTGAGTTAAAGGGAGATAATCGAGACATTTGGAAGAGGCATGGCACATTTAACTAGAACAATCTAACCCAGTGGAGGAAATAAAGGGTTCAGTTCAAAATTCCAATTACCTGAAGATGCCTGGAGCATACCACGGCTGAAATATTGTGAATATGGCAACAAAGATAAGGACAAGTCCAAACAATGTAAATAGTGTAAATGAAAAAAAAAGTACTTGCATAAGAACTTACAATTCTCTTATTGACACCATAAACTTTGAAGGAACTTACAATTTTATTACCAAAATACTTTTCAAAAACATGAGCTCATCCACCCTGTGGGTTGACCATTTCCATGAAAAATGCAGCTATCAGATCTATCCAATGTAGATCTATATTCATCAATAGAATTTACTGCTGAGTTTTTACATATTTTTCTTTGTACAATTTACAGGTTTCTCTTTGTGATGTTTACTTAAAAAGGGATGTAAGTTTGTTTGCATTCATGCCTTTTGCTAAGGCTGTTAATATTCTTAATATTTTCTCTGTTAACATTTTGCAACACCAGATTTTCCAAATATTTTCTGGCTGCTCAATCTGCTTTTCTTATGAGCTTTTCGTATTTTCGTAGTCTTTCTAATATTTTAAATTTCTTTGATAATTCTTTTCTGATATGTCTTATTTTTCTATTTTGAGAATCTCTATAGATCTAAAATTAAGAAAATGTTTATTTACAATATGAAGAATGTTTGGCTTGAATAATAAAATCTCACACCACTAAATAAATTATTTTAAATATTTATAATAAAAACAAAGTTGAAATTACCATGGTACATTTATCATATAAATCTAAGTATACCCCAAAATTTTACTAACACTGATTAATACCAAATTTGTGAAAATATTAACTTGCATGATAAAATCTGACAGTGCATAATGTCTTTGAAATAATATTCCTTATACGGTCACTAAAACAACCTTATAATTTTCTTATACAGTCACTAAAATAATCTAAATGTTATACAATAGAATGATTACCCAATAAAGCATATAAATAATTGACCAAGCTTCATATAGCTTCATATAGTCTGGCATAAAGCTATAAGGGTGGAGATTTTAAGGGGAAAAACACACTAAACCAGTAATGGGGTGGCAAGGCAGACACAACACTAGTTAAGCCGGCAATAATTCTAAGCAGGTGCCGAGTAAATCATATCTAGTAAAAATTCAAACAACAATGGTTGACTTTACCTCTACACTTTCATCTTGAAATGGATGATCAGCTAAAAGTTCACCCCATGAAAACATCAAACTGTCAGTGAAAACTCCATAAGGATTAAAATCCATCAGGAGAATTTTATTCTGGAAAAAGAAAAAAAAAACAAATTAAAGAAATAATTATAACATTCATTCACTCAAAAAACACAACTCTGTGTTTGTGTGTGTATATATATATATATATATATATATATATATATATATATATATATATATATATATATATATATAAAATGGACAAAGTCCGACAATTATTTTAAGAGATTTTATGTTTATACATTCTTTTTTATAGATACAAATATTTAATTAAATGCTCGGAGGATACATATATTCTGATGGACATTCTGGCTGGTAAATGTTGTTAATACTGTTTATTATAAACAGAGCATTTACTTAAATATTTGTATCTATAAAAAATTATATATATATATATATATATACACACACAATAAAAATATTAGTTTTAAGGTATGCTATATTAATGGATTAAAGTGCTCAATATCAGGGCTAGAGTGTATATAAATATAAAAGTGAACATTGAGGTCAATACTCAACATTGAATGTGTGCTTTATGCTTAAACGCTACTTTCAAAGATTGCCTTTAAACATGAAACAGATTGTCCATGCAAACAGAGCTGGAAACAAGCTTGCAAATATACAGACCCCCATGGCTAAAGTGGGCTTGCATCGAGCAAAGGTGATGTTGTCCATTTGGTGGGATTACAGAGGAAAAATTCACTTTGAACTTCTTTCAGCCATTGAAACAATAACTGTAAAGTATTGTTACCAATTCACCAATTTTAATTCACCTATTCAAGAAAAACGTCTGATTTTTGGTGAATCAAAAAAAAAGGTGTGATTTTCCTCCATGACAATGCAAGTCTGCTTGTTGCAAAACAGACATTGCAGAAGTTTAAAGATTTGAAATTGGGGGGAAAACCACCAACACCCACCATACTCTCATGACTTGGCTCTTTTGAATTTTCTTCTGTTTTTGGTCTCTACAGAACAATTTAAATGACAAAAAATTTGACTCCGTACAGGCAGTCAAAAACTACTTCACTACTGCCTTCCAACAAAAAACAGTTTCTATGAAAATGGAATCAGTAAGCTTGTAGAATGATAGGAAAGAGGTGTTAAAAACAATGGAGTCTATGTACTTGACTAATTAATTTTTTTTTTTTTTTTTTTTTGAGTATGTAAAATTTGGTGAATATGGCAACAAAGATGAGGACAACAATCCAAACAATGTAAATAGTGTAAAATTTTGTTTTTAATTTTCTAATCTGGCACAAACTTTTGCAATGATCTTGTATATACCAGACTCTCTTGTTTTCAATGTAGGAGGGTACAGCGACAGTCAGTAGTATCCACACACATGAAAATGCGAGGCAGCATATTGCAAAACAGACCTTGCAAAAGCTTAGAAAGTCGAGATGGGAAACTCGACAGCACTTACCATATTCTCCTGACTTGGTTCTTTCAGATTTTCATGTGTTCCAGTCTTTACAGAACAATTTAAATAACAAAAGATTTGTGCAGTCAGTCGAAAACTAACTCACAACCTTCTTGTGACAAAAAATAAAATTTCTATGAAAATGTCATCAATAAATTTGTAGAACGATAAGAGACAGTTGTTAAAAAACAATGGCGATTATGTACTTGACTAATAAATGATTTTAATGAGTATATAAAATTTTGTTTTTAATTTTCTAATTGGGCACAAATGTTTGGAATGAAGGAGATCCTTATTTTTTTTTAATGAACAGAAAAACAAGTGCAGATGATTTTAATCTCTTCCCCAATTCATTTCCTGTTGAGCAAAAAAGAACACACACGAAGTCTAGATAATTAACAAGTAACACTACTGGAGAGTGAGAAAGTTGAGAGATACAGCATATATCAGTTTATTATATACCTTATTATTTGAACCAGCATGTTCGTCTTGGTTGCTATGTTTCAACCATTGTATAACAACCAGCCTTCTTCAGGTGTTATAACTGATAACCTTCTTGGAATTCCAAACCAAATCCTTTATTCAATTAATGGGGACAGACTGTTTGCATTCCACTTTCCATACTTAAAAAAATATCTTATATCGGGCAGTTTTCTCTAGTTTCTTTGACTTTATGCCACTTGTCTATTTCTTCAACCCAGAGTATACGACATTCCAGGCCCAGAGATTGAACTTACATATGTCAAGAAAACATATCCTTTAACCAACACATTAATCCACTCAGCCATGCATATCATGGGTAATCCAGGAAAATATTTAACAAGGACCACTATGCACCTGACTCCAACCCCCATGCAGAAGAATTTGATTCTGAAACACTATACAGTACACGGGCAGACATCATATTGTGAATGTCTGTAATGATTTGTCTATATTTCTGAGATGAGGTATTAAACTATTTACTTTGTTTGGACTGTTGTCCTCACCTTTATGTGTGAATATGGCAATAAGATGAAGACAACAGTCCGAACAATGTAAATAATGTAAATAGTCTGTGATGATGCTCAAAAAGGTTGGAAGGCAACCAAACTACTGTCAAACCTCCTATAGGATCTCTTGGTAGACGGTGCAAACGCCTTGGTGAGATGAAGGAAAGTGATATAAAGCTCATGGTGTTGCTTGTGGCATTTCTCCAAGATGAAACTGGCAATTAAGACGAGGGTCAACACTTTCCTAGCAAAGCATAGCAAAGATATTTTACAAGGAGTTCTACAATCTGCTTGATTGCCTTTGTAGATAGGAATGATGTTTACAACTTTGACCGTTCAGATATGCATTAAGTATTCGAAATTTGGTAGATGAAAGAATGAAAAGTTAGATGAAGCTGATGACAACCATACTCCAGGATCCCACCTGAGATACCATCAACGCTGCATACATTGTTCGACTTCAAACTGTCTTTTAGGTGCAGTTGTACAACAAGCACTGTGACCAGAAATAATCATTTTTATCAATTTTTTTTTTCATGTTGCTATAGATTAACCATTCAGACAAAATTATAAAAAAAAAAAAAAAAATGTTTTTTAATTAAATTTTATAAAATTAATTCTATGTTTTTTTTAAATATCATAATCTGAAGTGCTTTAACTGATAGTAATATAAAAAAAAAAGCACAAAAGATTACAAAAAAATAAAATTTTTAAGAAACCATGCAGTGTAAGCATATTTTTTTTTGGCTTCCATTGGTGAATGAATTTACATAACAAACTGGATTGTTTCTATTAACTTTTATATTTAAAAGCTAAAAATATTGATATTCATGATCTGAAGTACTTAATCCCCCACCCACCAAAAAATTATTATTTTTTTTATCACAGTGCTATTGTACAACTCAACCATATTTTGCAACCAAGACCTGGTGACAGGCAAGTTGACGATGTATCTGCATAGACACTGTTCAAATCACAAAACTGAAGCAGGTTCAGCAGGCAGAAGGATGTCAAAGCTGTTTACTAGCCAAGGATATATATATATATATATATATATATATATATATATATTTTAAATGTTCTACTTGTAGAAAAGACTTGTTACTGCATTAGTCTAATCAATCACAAGTGAACCACCCATCATGAAGGGTACCAGTCGATTTCATTTAAAAAGATGACAATGATCTTGGTTAATTCAGTGGTGTCGTTTTAGAACCTTAAAGTTAATTCCCATGCTCAGGTGGTAGAATTTTCGAGTGTCTTTTCTTGATTAATCAAAAGTTCCCAGGTGGTGTTTATCTCTATGCTAGGTCTTCTGCGAGTATTACCAAGTATGACTGATAACTGAAGAAAGGTGGTGGGTGCCACAGCCGAAATCTTGCGATTATAACAATTGAGATGAACATGCCAGTCTAAATAGCAAGACATTTAATAATGGTAATTCCTCATCTGAAGAATTCTGACAAATACATGAAAGCTTATTGATGAATTGCACAAGTTGATATTTAGCATTTAGAAAATTAAGTACTAACCTGTTTATCTCTGTAAATGTCAAAAACATCTGAAACAAAAATATCTTCAATCAATAAATAAATATATGATAGCAAAATTTGCAACAAAAGATAACCTTTAAAAATGCATTTTCTAATTTATTTTATTTAATAAAGTGTTAAATCACATAACCCAGATGATTTATCAGCAAACTTATTTACAATTGAGATTTTTTTTAAATGTGGTCTTTCAGTTATGTCGTTACCATAACATTTCGACAGATCAATTCTACAACCAGCATGGAGTGACCTAGAGAGCAGAGTACACAGTTATTTATACTATACAGGATGCTGGGAATAAATTCAGTTGATTTGTATATCAGTCATTGTTTGCATAAAAAAAAAAAAAAAAATCACTCTTCCATTATTGATTGTGTACCTGAAGGAGGCAAGAGAATAAGTCGAAATGTTTTAGTAAAAAAACTTTGGAATTCAATGTTCTAAATGGTAATAGTAAGATTAGCTGTTCCCTTATAAGGAAATGTTACTGTTGGTTGAAATTTCAAGAAAATAGGTTTCTTGATGGGAGTTTCCTTTCTAACCTTTTCTTTAAGAAAAAGTATGGAAAGTCAAGATCTTATGTTGTCATTTTCTCTTTGCGTTACATGTACTATCCATTTTCGTTGTTGTTGCTGCTGTTGGAAGTCTCCAAATGATGTGGTTTTTGTTATTTGGTAAAGTTCTTTGTTTGTGATTCTGTATCCCAAGCCTACAAGATCTGACCAAGGACAGCATTCTGCAAGAGCCATAGGGTTTATTCAATTGAAGCCATTTTTAATTATTGATTAAGAAAATAGTTATATATAGTTGGTAGCTTAGATATTTCTGAACAAGCTGAATGTCATCTGACGAGGCTGTTTAAGAACATGACTCAAGTTCTTAGGTTAATGTTTTGGTTTTGCAGCGTCTTGTAATGCAGTCTATTCTATGTTCAATTTCTTTCTCTCCTATACTAAATTGGTTATAATGGATCCATACATGTATAGCAATGATATATATGCATATATTTGAGAGGGTGCTGAAAATCTTCAGCCCACCTGACTTTACAAAATCAGCATTTGAATGACTGGGCATCATTTTTTTTTTTTTATTTATTTATCAAAAAAAAAAAAAATAAAAAAAAAAAATAAAAATTTCCTAATATGTTGAATTTCAAATTGATTATTCAAAATAGCATGTACATTTCATGTCTCTGTTATTTGTTTTGGTCAGGCTGAGAATTTTTCAGCAATTCCTTGTCATCATTGGCAGAACTCATTACTGAGTACTGAGGTGCTCATTGACATTTCCTTGTGTGAAATCTGAAGAGATGTCTGCAGCCACCACATGGTAGGGTAGGAGGGTTCAAGGCATGGGGAGCTCTGGATTTTCTTTGGGCTCTTTTTCTCTCTTTTATTTGTTTTCTAGTGTTTTTATGAACTGCTCTTCTTCAGTTGGTTCTTTCTGTAGCTTCCATCTCCCAAATGACCAGATCAATTTCTCTCCCCAGCAAGGTATTTTTGAGCTGATACTTGAATCAACAATGTGGGGCTCCATGTGATCTCAAAACTACCCCCCCCCAACACAGCTTATTCTATGGTCAATTTTCTTATCTCTTTCCTAAATTGATTATAATGGATCCATACAGCGAGATATTTAAAGTCTTTAGTATTTATTAATTCCATATCCTAGATCATTTTTTAAACGGATTCAGGTTACGTGCCATTTCTGTTTTCATCCCAATTCCAGTTTTCTCTCGAGTCCAATTTCTTGAAACACTTGCTCGAGGATGTTGGTTATTCTTTTTTTTTTTCAAGATTATTTTTATTCCAACTATGAGCAACATATGCCATCATCGCCATCAGTACATTGACCTTGGGAGGCAAAACAGGAATAGTATTTTCTAGCAGTTAATTCATTTGGGATGTGGTACGGAATCTGTTCTTGTATAGACGCAGAGCATACTGTAAAAATAGATTAACTAGAGTGGGCTTCTCATTTTATTTAACCTACTTCCTGATGAAGTATGAAAGCATTCCATATTGGCATCTTCACTACAAATAGCTTCAGGAATTCTCAAAATTACAAGCAATATAAAATATCAATCATTTTTGTTTGTTTTAACATACCAAACCCCAAAACAAGTTGTTAGGTGAAATTACTTACATTCTTTATCTGCAAATCGTCCACTTATATTTTGTTTAAAGAATTCTATAATATCGTCTTTGATGATTTCCTCTTGATCTTCAATAAAGCTGTAATATTCAGAATCGTGACGTTGGCAAATGGCTACGGTAAAAAAAAAAGTGAATTTTTTAAATTTTTATTTTGATAAAATTTAAAAGTAAAATTTTTATGTAATTTACCTATTTAAAACTATTTACCTATTTAAAACTATTTATCTATTTAAAACTATTTATCTATTTAAAACTATAACAATTATTTTGTTTTGTTTTTGATTTGACCTACTTCCCAAAATTCTGACCAAAGATCAGAATTTTGTAGGGGGGGGGGCATCTTGGTTTGGATGAGAACTTTTCAGCACACTCTCATAAGTGTGTATAATTGCAACTTTTAAAATGTTTACTTTCATCTAAAAAATTAAAAGTAAAATTATTTAAAATTAGATAGAGGACAGGAATTAAGGCAAATATTATTGCCAGAATAGTAAGTAATGTAAATGAATTGCATAAGAATTTACAATATTGAAAAATCATTGCATTGAAAATCAGGAAGAAAGGAATTGTCTGGAGTCATGAATTAATTTGAATGTTACTCACAGAATAGGTTTATTATTATTATTATCTAATATAAAAGGCTCAAACACTAATATTACATGATTATAATTTATTACATTGGAATCGTAATCACGATCCAATTCATCAGACCTACAAATTCAAAAAGAAACCTTATACCCATGGAATATTAGTGTTTGAGCTTTTTATATTAGATTATATTCTTACTCTGTCCTGGACATCAAATTCTACCTGGATTCTATCCTCTTGGGAATTTATATATATATATATATATATAAAATGTAAGTACACAGCTTATGATTTTACCATATAAATTCAGTGTTTTTATGATAGAAATGTACAAAAAATTAGAAAGGAATTGTCACTGGTCAGGAATTGATGCAAATGTCACTGACAAAATAAGATTATTTTATACAAAGTTATATGAAGAGTGTCAATTTTTCATCTTAATATTGGGTGTAAAAACAGTATGTAAAATGCCACATAATTGAAAGGATTTACTAAGAATCTAATCTAAGGCTAGTGATTACTGAGGAGGACTCAAATGCAGAATTAATTGACAGGATATTCAGTAGATAAACAAATCTATTCTGACTGCAGGCATGAACATTAATCATTGATATAGAAAAAAGAAAGTGTTTTTGTTGTGCAGCTCATACTTTTCATTAGCTGAATAAAGACATATCCATTAAAATCTTCCAAAAATTAGTTAAAAAGAAAAAAAAAAGGTGTTTAAAAATTTAAGCCTAAATGAAAGTCTTAAAATTTTTTTTCTAAAAGAAAAAAAGGATTTTTGAAACCCAAAACTAAGCATAAAAATTAGTTTTAAAACAAAGAAAATGCAAGAAAAAAATTAAATGAAAACACTCTTAGAGAAATAGTATAAAATGTGTTTTACAAAAGTATCTCAAAATTGAAAAAGAGAAAACAAAAGTATTTATGAAACAAGAAAAATCTAAAATGCATCAAAATATTAGCAAAAAAAAAAAAAAAAAAAATTAAAAAGCCATGAATTGTCTAAAAAGTAATAAAAAAGAAAGAAAGGCAAAGTTGGAGCTTTGTATAAGAAAAAAAAAGAAAAAAAAAAAAAAGAGTGAAAAGGACGTTTTTTCCATTGACATTGGTATTTTAACTACCTTCACTCCCTGGCAATGGTTTATTGCATTACAAAGCAATGATTAGAATTGTCATAAAACCTAAACATATGCTGAAAGTGAATTCATATATTTCTTTGCTCTAGTAAAACAATTTATTATATTATTTACACTCATATTGTTTATTGGAATGGTTGGCAAAGCCTCAGCTATTTGCCAATTGATTCAAACTTTATAAAATGGTAAATAAGGATTTCCTTATAGTTGGTTCAGATATTTTAATCATTTAGTAAATGTTTATAAATTTATGAATAAAAAATGGTTTTCATAATTCTTTATAAATTTGGTAAATGATAAATATTACATTCAATTAGTTTTAATTGTATTAGTTTTTAAAATGTTGTAAATATAAAATTTATTCTTATCAATAAACAATCTAATAAATAAAGTGTTTTATATTTTTGTTGTAATTTCTCAAAAACAAAAAAAAACTGTATAAATTCACTTTCATCATGTTTAAGTTTTATTATAAATATAATCATCACTTTTTAAAGCAACAAACAATGCTGAGGAGTAAAGGTAGTTAAAATAATAGATGTGTCAATGGAAGCACTGTCCTTTTGAGACATTGTTTTTTTTGTAGGCACAAAGCTTCATGTTTACCAAAGAATTAAATGAATTTAAGGTTGTATGAGTCTTGGGGAAAAAATTGATAAATAACCAAACAAAATGACAAACCGATGAGAGTTCCATTTTTCACAAAGCAACGGAATTCCATACCAGGATGAACATTTTTCCATACTCGTAAAATAAGTTCATAATGGATGTCGGTTTTATTGGAGTCATTGTCATCGCAATGCTGAAACCTAAATCAGCAAAATTAAAGTCCAGATATTAACAGACAGAAATACTTTCCCAAGTAAAGGTTATCATTAATAATGGTAATTATAACAATAATTAAAAAAAAAACAAACAAACAAAAAAAATACAATGACAAATATAGTTTTGGAAAAACTAAAATGTGCACTACCGATTTTCTGGCAGTTGGTAGTCTGGTGCCTCTTAATCCAGTCAATGACACCAAAATTCAATCAAGTACAAAAAATTGAATAACTAGGAACAGTGTTTTAAAAGAAAATGAGAAATACAACACTGAAATCTGAAAGCACATTTGTGGCAGAAAATGGTGCTTTCCAAAAGCTAAGCAAAGTATTAAGAAACAGGAAAATTGCATTAGAAACAAAGAAGTGAGTCCTGAACTGCTCTGTAATAAATATCAGTCCTTGTATATGGCAGTGAATGCTGGACAATCTATTCATAGATGGAAAAGATACTTGGGGCCACAGAAATATGGTTCCTAAGAAGATTCTTCCAATCAGACGCCTTGTTGTCGGATGTACAAATAGAAAAATTAATAAAGGCTGGCAATGGTTGATTGAAAAGATAATATTGAGGCTTTAAAATTTTTTTTATTATTTTAATAAAGATTTTAAAAAATTTAAAGCACAAATAGTTTCTCCTTTTTATGTACCATTATAGCATAATTTAACAAAGAAAAATAATTCTGGTGTGAGTGAGTATAAGAAATGAAACAAGAATGTTAGTACAACTGTCTTTAAATCCAGTATAATGTAGATAGTAGTTTTTTTTTTTTTATTAAAAAAGACACATGGAGGGTGCTGAAAAATTCCCAGCTCACGTTCCAAAGTCTAACAACCAGATTTCCTTTTTTGGTTGGTTGATTCACTTATCACTACTTATTGTAGACTAGGTTACATTTGTCATTCATGTACATTTGTGGCTAGTCTGTCTCCAATGTTTAACGTATATAGTAGTGAGTTAACTGAGAAGTGTTCTGTTTAACAATGGCAGGATATTCATATCATGAGCAGGCAGAAATGATTTTTACATATGGCTGCATGAATGGTAATGGACACGAGATTGGATATCTGTATCAGATTTGTGTTTCCAGGCCAAAGATTGCTGTGTCATCCAACTTTTACTGCTGTTTGTCACGTTGTTGAGACAGGATCCAAGCACCACAAAATATGGATTGAGGAAGACCAAGATCCGCTCATATGCCCGACCATGAAGAACTCTACAAGCTGTCAGAGATGATCCAGGTATCAGCACATGTCAAATGCCTAGCATGTTGTATATCTCATAGTATTGCAAGGAGGGGACTTCAAGAGCAGTACCTGCATCTGTGTCATTTGCAATGTGTGAAGGGTTTTTCGCCATCTGATCACTCACTATGGGAAAACTTTTGCCAATGGTTTATTGCACAAACTGCCAATCTGTTGTTTGTTTTTCAATCTTGTTTATGGATTAGGCAACATTTGGAAGAGACGGAATAACAAACTTACACAACCAACATTTGTGGGTGGATCTGAATCCTACAGTGCAATACAGGCTAGACACCAGCATCAGTTTACAATTAATGTGAGCTGGAATTGTAGGCATCTGTCTGGTAGGTCCATATGTTCTTCCAGCATGTCTCACAGGAGCTGTCTACAGGGATTTTATTTCAAACACACTTCCAGACCTGCTAGAGGATGTATCCTTGCTAATACGAAGATGCATGTGGTTCAGGCATAATGGAGCTCCAGCAGATTTTAATCACATTGTTTGCGATGCACTAGCTGACATCTATCATGAAATATGGATAGATAGTGGAGGATCGGTTCAATGTCCAGCACGTTATCCTGACCTCAATCATTTGGATTTTCATCTATGAGGGTCACCGAAAACAATTGGTTTATGCAGCAGACAATAATAATGCAGAGGCTTCAATGTTTCATGGGGACCTGTGAAACCATTCAACACCATGTGGGAGTATTTGAAAGGGTCCACCAGTCAGTGATCTGATGGGTGCATGTGTGTGTAGAAGCAAGCAGAGGACATTTTCAACATTTGGTATAAATTGCTGTGTTAAAGTACAATGATGGCCTTGTAGATGCATGTTTATATGGAAATTTTTTTTTGGTGTCAGGATCCTGCCCCTAATGTTTGTAAAAGTTTTTTTTTACCATATATATATATATATATATATATATATATATATATATATATATATATATATATATATATATATATGCAATAAACAATCGCAAGGGCATGAAACCCAGGGTCACAAAAATTTATCAATACAACTAAGTGTGTGTGTGTGTGTGTGTATGTATATATATATATATATATATATATATATATATATAAATAAATGAACATCTTTAAATGAGGGATCATATTTTATTCAGAGAAAAAAAAAAGGATACAAAAGTATCTCAATGATTAAAATTTTAGGTACCTTTTGGGTGACATCTCTTTTTATGAATAAAATATGAATCCTCTTTTAAAGATCATTCTATCCTGGTGTGTTAATAATAAAGTTTTGATAAATTTGTTTAATAAATCCTCTCAATTACAAGAGAGGTTATATGAATGATTAATAAATAATTTGTAATGTATCCCCATAGTAAAATAATGAATTTATATATCTTTTAGTATTTGGTGTATCCCTATAAGTAATCATTAGAGTGAATGAAATTTTGAATATAGTTTTTTTGAAATTCTATTGCTTTCATGTGTTTCTTTTATATATATATATATATATATATTATGAAATGGACAAAGTCCGACAATTATTTTAAGACATTTTTATGTTTATACATTCTTTTTATAGATACAAATATTTAAGTAAATGCTCTGTTTATAATAAACAGTATTAACAACATTTACCGGCCTGAATGTCCGAGAAATTGTCATAGAAAATATTCATTCTCCGACAGGAATTGAACCATTATGAAATGGACAAAGTCTGACAATTATTTTAAGACATTTAAAAAGAATGTATAAACATAAAAATGTCTTAAAATAATTGTCAGACTTTATCCATTTCATAATGTGTGATGTCATTTGTTTACTTTTGGATATGCCATGAGCAGATATGAATGTACGCGAGAGATTCATGGAAAATTGTAGTTTAAAGGTAGTAAATTTGGCTTTGATAATGGAACGATGCTCTGTGGCTCGATCGGTTAAGGTACGTCAAGCTAAATGATAGTATAGGATACAGGTTCGATTCCTGTCGGAGGACGAATATTTTCTATGAAAATTTCTCGGGCATTCAGGTCGGTAAATGTTATACTGTTTATTATAAAACAGAGCATTTACTTAAATATTTGTATCTATAAAAAGAATGTATAAACATAAATTATATATATATATATGGTCCATTGAACAAATCTGTTAGAGATTTCATTCACTTACATATTGAATAAAAAAACAAATTCAGTATATAGGAAAAATAAAATGTGAATGTCTGAAAGTAATGTCTACTCATGGACAGGTGAGGTCATGAGCAACAAAAATCTGAACTTTTTAAGAGGAGATAGATGTCAGCAGGACTTGTGCAATCAAGACTTTTATCAAATGAAATCCAGGAGGCATCCTACAAAAAAAAAAAAAAAAAAAATTTACATTTCATGAATTAGTCTACCAGAGGTTTAAAAAAAAAAGAAAAAAAAGAAAAGAAAAAAAAGAAAAGAAAAAAAAGAAAAGAAAAAAAAGAAGAGTAGAGGTCTATCCTTTGTTTCTGGTCCTTTCTAAAGTCTACTTCAATCACTTTCGCTCCCAGTAGCCCCCTGCATCTTAGTGGCATTACCACCTTGCTTGGGATGAATTGATAAGAAAAAAAAAAAAAAAATTACTGGTAACTAAATAACAGTTCTTGATTTTCCTTGTATTTATTTGAAAATCAAGAGCTAGACTCCTATTCCTATATTTTTGGGGGTGCACTGAAAATTCCCACAAAATGTTTAAATGGGTTAAATGCAAAATTTAAAATTTTCTGGTGAATTCTGGCTCTTCACTGCAAACTAGGGTTTATAGACCTAAATCCATTTCTTTTTTAATTAGAAATGTGAAAGTTTTGTACTTGTCTGCTTAAGTACAAATAACGTTAATACCGTTCCATAATTAAGCTATAAATCATTGAAAGGACTCAAAAAAAAAAAAAACACAAAGTTCTGTTTGGCTCTGTTGTGCTGCTTGTGGATTAGTGATGTTGGTTCCAATCCTTTAAATGTTGGTTGAAAAAGCATGCTGGGGTTTCTTCAGAGCCAATAAGATAGTTGACTTCTTGGTCTCATCCAACTTAGTTCTGTTCTTTCTTGTCATCCCCTCTCCTTCTTAAATTTTTATTTTGTCACATATCTAAAATGCTAATTGATTTCTTAAACATGTCAAAACTTGGCTTTACTCTTGTTAGCTCCAATCTATATGAGAATGACTACAAAAATGTCGCTTCCCAACCAAAATATATAGGCAAATCATACAGAGATGCATGCTGGGATTTCTTAAGAGCCAATAAGATAGTCGACTTCTCAGTCTCATCTGCCATATTATTCTTAGCCATAATGGCAGAACAGTGTGATCACTTGTCTGTGTCCTTTTTGCATGTTAAGACCATTTTTAGTTTGTGAACTTTTGACCTCATTACTGTTGCTTTGATTACTTTTGTATTTATTGTTTGCTTTGTATTATTTTTGCCCTGTTCTTTTCTTTTTGTTTGGAGCCTTTGTCAATTCTATTTGTTAGGCATTTTTGCCAATTACATTTAACCATGGCCAATTACTCTACAAGTGATATTAATGCTTCAAGGTCGAATTTATGCCTGACCCTTGGGTCATCATCTGATAATGGCTTCAATGGTGGCACAGCCGTTTTGTGCAACAGTATGTGTAGGAAATTACGCCTATCACCACCAGAAGCCAAGAG